GGGGGGGGAGGGGAAGAAGGAAAAAAATGACCAAGGCAAAAAGGAGATGGATGCAAGAATGAAGTGGTAGAGCTCCTGCCTACCAAGAAAGAGGCTGAGTTCAATTCCCAATGCAAAAAGGGGAGGGGGGGGAGAAGAGGAGGGAGCAATAATTTAGGTGGTACAGCTCTGGAGCCCACTAAGACTAGGTTCAAACATCTTTGAATGGCCTTTGAATGCTTATTTAAAATTCAGTGACTCAGTTTCCTCCCTCCCCAAAGAGAAGACTGGGAATCCACCTTGGGGTAAAGCCAGTGCTTAGCATACACAAGGCCCTGGGTTCAGTCACTAGGCCACAAACACAACTGAGGTCTCAAAAAGCCCAGGGATGGAGACGTCGCTCATAGTAAGCACATGAGGAGGCCCTGGGTTCCATCCTCACACCACAAACACCAATGAAATGGCCAAAACCCACTAAGAAACCTAGCAGCCTGGTATTTAGTACCCACTGAGTACTTACTAGGCAGTGGATAACAACACCCAAACCATCCCCAGAAACACCACTGCCTTTTCCATTACACACATGGGAAAACCACCCTCCACACTGTGTTGAGAAAGGACCCAAGGGGAAGAACCTAAACAACCCACCAAGACAGACAGAGTCTTGATGTTCCATGTGTGTACCAGTACTAGGGTGTGAACTCAGGGCCTGGGCGCTGTCCCTCAGCTCTTCAGATCAAGGCTAGCGCTCTACCACTTGAGCCACAGCGCCACTTCCGGCTTTTTTCTTTTTGCTTATGTGGTGCTGAGGAATCGAGCCCAGGGCCTCAGGCAGGCAAGGCAAGCGCTCTACCACTGAGCCACCTTCCCAGCCCCAGGGCCTCAATTTCTTGCTCAGCTTTTTTACTCACGGTTGGAGCTTGAGCACGTAATGGGGTTTTTGTTGGTTAATTGGAGAAAAGCATCTCCAATCTGTTTGGGGCTTTGTCTGCTTGGGCTGGCTTTGAAGATCTCAGCTTTCTAGGATTATAGGTGTGAGCCACTGGAGCCCAGCTGGTAATATTAGTATTTTAAAAGTTGGCCCCAAACTTAGTGGGCCGCCTAGTTTTGCATCCTAAAGATAAGTGACATACTGCAGGCTGCCCCAGACACCCACCCACCCAAGGCTGTGAGGAATTAGCACTTGCTTGCTAGCTGCTGGCCTGGAGTGGGGAGGGGCTGGATAACTCACAACTTCAGGACCGCCAGGTTGGCTTCCAGATCATAAGCATTCTCCTTGGCCTGGGTCTCCACATAGCGCTCCAAGGTGGCCAGATTCTCAGGATTGTACCTAGGGGAGAATCAAGGTGGGTAAACAGTGGGATGTGGTTGGTCTAACATCTGTCATTCAGACATCTAGGGGGCTGAGGCAAGACTCTCTTGAGATTTCAAAGCAAGCCTAGGCCACACAGAGTTTGAGATCAGCCTGGGCTACGCAGTGGAATCCTGTCCCAAATAACATAAAATGGGTGACCAGAGAGGAGACAGAAGTTAAGGGATACTAATCTGTCCCTCCTTTCTTCCCTACGTCCAGCCCCTCTAAAAAAATCCGGTCCTGATCACCAACTCTACTCCGTGAGTCAACTCCACAACCCCTAATAAAACCTCCAGCAGACCTCTCCAGACCCCAATGAACCCCGGTGTGGTTTGGGGAACGCCGACCACCCCCTCATCCAGCCAATTACTGCTCCACAAGAACAACACCTATGGCTTTACGGATCAATTCTGGTTCCCGAGATTGCCCACCACTGACAGAGCAGACTTCACTGAACAACTGGATGAAGGATATACCCGGCAAGGGAGGGAGGTACTGAGAGACTTGAGGGGGCAGAGAGGGAACCTAAGGAACTCAGTCCGAGCGCGAGATCTCTCCGGCGGCTAAGCCTGCCTAAACATCCTCAGGCATCTCCAGGATGACCTCTAGCAGGCAGAAAGACCGAGAAACCCTCCCCTAGGGGCAAGCTTAAGACCCTGACCGGATATCCCGTCCTGGCTGTCTCCGAAAATCTCCTGTCTTCTACCCCTGCGGGGCCAGAACGACCCCTCGGACCCAACTCAGACCTGTCGATACCCTTGAGCAACTTGCCCACGTTCGCTCTCATCTGCTCAAACATCGCCATGACTACAGTCGCGCTCTGCTGCCACAAACAGACGAAAACCGGCCCCGGTGGCTCCTCGAGGAGCAGAAGAGGAAGAGGGGACGGAAACGGAAATACGTCACGTTCCTCGCCTCACAGCTCAGTACTGGGACGAGGAGGGGGCGGGGCCAAGAGATCAAGAGAAGAAGGGGAAGGCTTTTCTGACAGCAGCAGCGCTTTCCGGCTACCACGTGACTCCTGCCCAGTAGTCGTACTTCGCGCGTGCGCACTCGCCCCGCCCCTGCTGGAACCAAAGGCGTGTAAAAAAAAAAAAAGCCTAGTCGGTCTCAGTGCGCGTGCGCCTTTTCTTGGGGTGAGGGGGCGGGGCTAATCCCCCCCCCTCCCATCTAGACCAGTGGACGGGTCCTGTAGTCTAGGACGCATGCGCGCCCTACCTCTCTGCTAACAGCGCGCGCTTTCGTCTGCTAACAGCGCCGCGCTTGGCCGCAGATGCAGCGAGTAGCCCGCGCGGGGACGTCGTAGTTCTTCCTTTGGGTCATGGTCACGTCCCAAGGGTTGGGGACTCTCTGAGGTCTTTCTGGCCCTCCTGAGGCAGGATCTAGCATTCTGACTTTCCTAGTTTGAGATCTGGGTTCGGGTCCCCACGCTTCGTTCCAGTTCCCGGAGAAGAGGGCTCACAAAGCTGAAGTCCTCACAAAGCAACACCCGCTGCTAGCTGCGGGCGGGCTCCTCTTCTGCACTCTAAAATTGTGCATAGATTCTGTACACTGCATGCATATTATATAATGCACGGGCATATGCCGTGTGTGCAAGCGTGTTCCAAATACACCCACGTGTGTACACATAAAAATCCAGATACCAGGCACCACAGCCAGGAGCTGATGCTGAAGTGCATGTTGTATGTGTCCTAGGCGAGCCGAGCCATCCTCTGTGCAGATCTGCAGCCTCTGATTAGAGCTAAATTTTAAGCACCCAGCCCAGAGAGCTTTCAACTATGGTTTGTGGGCCCTCCTAGAACAAGGAAGGGGTGTTAGAACACACATGGTCCCCCCCCCCACCTCATTGCAATTAAAATAGTTTGCATCTCATTTGCATTCAGCCCTGAGCTTTAAGGAGGGGGGCGGGTGTCCCATGGGTCCCCAGGCACAGTGCTCTTCACACCCAGGGGACAGGGGGTGGAGCCCTTTGCAAAACCCTGCAGCTGGGGCAGGAAGCGAGAGTGGGGAGGGGGAAGGCCACAGCCCACAGAGATAGGCAGGCACAGGGCTTGTGGGGAACCTGGAGGGAGGGAGGTGCCAGCGCTGGAGCCCTGAGGCCCTGCTTGGCCCCTGGGCACGGGCCCAGCTCCCATCCTCCGGGGATGGACCTCATGGACCACGACATATTTAACAGGGATCCCCGAGATCACTATGATCTGCTGCAGCGGCTGGGTGGCGGTACCTATGGGGAAGTGTTCAAGGTGAGAAAACCTTTCTGTCTCCATCACCCTCAGATCGGTATCTTTAGGGTGAGACCTGGGAAAAGGAGAAGGTACAAAAAGGCCCCGATACTTGGTCTTGATCCTGGGACGCTAAGAAACTCAGGCAAATGGAGCCTGCCTAATGGTCAACTTCCCCTTTACAAGGCTCGTGACAAGGTATCTGGGGACCTGGTGGCATTGAAAATGGTCAAGATGGAACCTGGTAAGTGAGGACCCTGGAACTTTGAACTCCCTCCCTTCACCCCACAGCCTGGGACATTAGGACCATCACCCTCCCTGTAAGTCCCAACCTATAGACCCCTCTTCTTTCCTGCCCTTCCTAACAGATGATGATGTAGCTACGCTTCAGAAGGAAATCCTCATGTTGAAAACTTGCCGACATGTCAACATCGTGGCTTACCATGGCAGCTACCTCTGGTGATGAGCCTCAGACCCCTTATTTCTGACCCAGCACGCCTAACTTGATCTCTACCCCTCAACTGCTACTTTAAATCAGGACACTCTTACCTTACCTTCAACTTGGACGCTTACTTTTTAACTGGGACACCTCAGCCTTCTCTCACACTAGTTTATTTTTTAAAAAATCACTGCACCCCTTCATCTAAACCCCAGTTGGAACCTCCTATTTCTTCCTAGGGTTCTCCAAGTGAATCCCTTCATTAATAGCAATCCTGAAATCAAATCCCCCCCCAAAGGAACTTATCAATCGTTTGCCCTTTGAGTTGTCCCCGTTTTACTCTGCTCCTTTAATATAGGCTCTTAAATTCCCTGACCGCCCCCCCCAAAATTAATATCCTGGATGTTCCAATAATGACCTCAATTCCCCCCAAATCTGGCATTCTGGAGCCTTTCATTCCATCCACAGCTCTGCAAGCTGGAGAGATCTTCTTTCCTGTCCCTTAGACTAGCCCAGGACATCAGAGATACACTAGATTCAAAGACCTATATTTGAGTTAAAATCCCCAATGTACATTTCCTGTCTGAGCCTCAACTTCTTCATCTGTCCAGTGGCCTCACTCTGTGGGCAAGGGGAGCTGGTACATTTACGTTTTTCTCCAACCTAGTGCAAGCAGAGGGATCAGTAGCAGCTGTCCTTGTAAGGAATAATTCATGAAGTATTTATATTATCATTGTTGCTTTTCAATGACTGTAGGTTGCAGAAGCTGTGGATATGCATGGAATTCTGTGGGGCTGGTTCTCTTCAGGATATTTACCAAGGTTAGAGGAAGGACTAGGTCATGGAGGACCTGCCCTTTACTCCTCAAGGCCACCTCTTCTGCTTCTCTGGGTTTCGGACTTGGGGAAGTGTTCCTTCTCTACATTGCATGCAAAGCGTGGTGGGTTTGGCCTACATTATGCTGGGAATCCCTCTAGCATCTAACAGTCCAGCCTCCGTCTTTCTGTGTGTGAGACTTGCTTTAACTCCCTCTCCCTATCTTTATCTAGGTATCAGCCTCTTGCAAAGGCCTAGTTGTGTTGTAGTTAAACTTTTTCTTTTCTTTTTTTTTTCTTCTTTCTTCTTCTTCTTCTTTTTTTTTGGCTCATACTTAGATGCCTAGATTTTTGTGGAATGTGGGAATGAATTTCTGGTCCTTTCTGCCTCTCAGTCTCCTTAGAGAATTTGTTGGTAGAGTTAGGGTGGGATTCTGATTATCTCTCTGAAGTTTTGGAGGTGTGTGTGTGTGTGTGTGTGCACGCGCGCGCGTGTGTGTGTGTGTGTGTTGATATTGGGGCTTGAACTCAGGACCTAGTTGGTTTTTCCTTAGCACTTTTATTTTTTTTTGGTGGTGATGGGGAGGAGATAAGGTCTGGGCGCTGTCCCTGAGCAATTTTGCTCAAAGCTAGTGCTCTACCGCTTTGAGCCACAGCTCCACTTCCGGATTTTTGGTGGTTCATTGGAGATTAGAGTCTTGTGGACTTTCTTGCCATTGTTGGCTTCAAACAGATTATCAGATCTCAGCCTCCTGAGTAAGTAGGATTACAGTTGTGAGCCATGAGTACCCAGACATATCTCTTTCAAAATATGTCTATGTCTTCCTATCGCATAGTTTCTGTCTGCATCCTCCTTTCTGTGTCTCAGCTGGGCTCTGTCCCTTCATCTCTGCCCTTGTGCCTCTGTCCCTTGCTTATTTCTCACGCCCAGTTCCAGGTATTTCCACAGTTTCTATTTCCCTCCAGAAAAGCTCCAATTTCTCATGTCCACTGTGGCTAAGCCCACTTGCACTGGCTGGTCTTTCCTCTCCCTCTCTACCCCACTTTCCTCAGTCTCCCCAACCCCAGTTCCTTCTCACTGCTACCCCTATATTAGCTCTTGCTCTTCTCCCTCTGAGTGGGACACCTTCTTAGGTGGCCGTACTGACCACTTTGTCAAATATCAAAACCCTTCCCACACATTTCCTGTTGACTTTGCTTGCTCTGTTTTTCTTCTATTTATTAGTGTGTATGTGCATGTGTGTGTGCGTGTGTATGTGTGTGTGTGTATTATGTACTTCTCTTTTCTTTTTTTTTTCCCCTGATGGCTAGGAATGAACCTAGCTAGCACATGCTAGGCCAATGTTCTATCACTGCGCTATACTTCCAGCCCTATGTAATATACATATTACATATTCATCTTGTTTACTATCTGGAATGTTCTCTCCATAAATGCAGGGATGTTGTTCTGTGTGTGTGTGTGTGTGTGTGTGTGTGTATGTGTGTGTGTGTACCAGGAAAAGGACTTGAACTGAGGGTCCTTATGATCTTGCTTGGCTTTTTTTTTGCTCAAGGCTGACATTCTACCACTTGAGCCCCATGTCTACTTCTAACTTTTTGCTGGTTAATTGGAGATAAGAATCTCTTAGATTTGTCCGCTCAGGCTGGCTTTGAACATGGATCCTCAGCCTCCTGTGTAGCTGGAGTTACAGATGTGAGCCATTAGCATCTGGTACACGGTATAAGCACAATAATTATCTGCTGACTGTCCCCTCTAGACTGTGTGGCTAGATGTCCCTGGGGCCTTTCTTTGTCACCCGCACTGCCTCCATCTCATCTGCTTCCTTGTCCTGTCCTGGGTCTCCTTCCCCTCTACTATCCTCTCAGCTGGTGTGGGCAGGATCTGGGGCCTCCAGGGCCCAGGTTTCCTGGCTCCCACCCAACATGTGGCCTGGCTGGTGTTGCAGTGACTGGCTCCCTGTCCGAGCTCCAGATCAGCTATGTCTGCCGGGAAGTGCTCCAGGTAAGAAGGGGTCTGGGAGGGGTTACAGGAAGGGGGGGGTCTTGTGCTAGCTCCAGATCACCCCCTCCCACTGGTGGCTCTTCTCCTCCCCCCAGGGACTGGCCTATCTGCACTCCCAGAAGAAGATACACCGGGATATCAAGGTGAACTGGAGATGAGGGACTGGGGGATGGGGGGTGGAGCCCAGGAAATGGAAGCCACGGTTGGGGTTGGGGGGGTTCAGGTACTTCTGAATTGTGGGATGGGAGCTATGGGGAGCAGATATTCTGACAGGTTCCAGTTCCTACTCTGGTACCCAGGGAGCCAACATCCTCATCAATGATGGCGGAGAAGTTAGACTGGGTGAGTATGGTGGTTGGGGGGGTGCGGGCAGGGGGGCGACTGGGAAATGGAGAGACAGGGGACAGTATATTTCTTCCTCTACCTCCAGCGGACTTTGGGATCTCAGCTCAGATTGGGGCAACGCTGGCTAGACGCCTGTCTTTTATTGGAACACCCTATTGGTGAGGGGTGCCTGGTGGGCAGCTGGGGTTAAGGGTGGGGGGAGCAGAGGATTTTTCCCTCCCTGGATCCCTCCACAAACTCCCTTCCCGCCTCCATTCTGTGTCTGGGAAAGACTTTCTCTTTGGTTCTCTCAAGGCTTCTGTCTCTCTGTGCTGCTTTCTTCCTATTTCTCTCCGGTTTCCGTTCTCCTCCCCCTCCATACAAATATGTTCCCATCTTTTCTCATTAGCTCTTTCTGTCTTTGCTTCTGTCTCTGTGTGGTAATAGATCTTTTTTTTTCTTTTGTTTTTCTATGCTGGGGAACAAAGCCAGAGCATCCTCAAATATGACCTGCCCCCAGCCCTATTGCTTTTGTTTTTCCCTCTCCCTCCCTCCCTC